TTTATTTTTTTTATCTTTTTGTAGGTTGCAGAGTCTCTAATGAGTTACATGATTACACTTTCAAATACAACATTGAATTGGAAATTAGAGAGGATTTCTTTTTTTTTACAATTTAGTTTCATTTCTCTCATTTCTCGTTAAAGACAAGGTTTTAATTAAGTTTGGGGGAAAAGAGTCAATTTATGTAAAAAAAAAAAAACATAATTAGTTTGATGAATAAGAAGAAAAATCCTATGATAAGAATATGGATGAAATTGATTATAATTTTTAGGAAAAAATTGTTATTCCTTGAGTTTATTTGTTAATCCTTGACTTGATTTTGCTTAATTTGAGATTTTTTATATTCAATTAATGCTTATCATGATCATCAATTGTTTTGCATACCTAGATAAATTTTATGTGAGTAACATAATTTTATATGTTCTCAACAAATTCTAAAACTTGTTTAATGATACTTGAGGTGAAGTCCTAAATAAAATATTACTTAAGAAGTGATTTAGGCATTCTTTGAATTGATTGAGTCTTTCAAGCAACCCTATTTATTATTTGTATCCCTAGTTATCCCTTTGAGCTTTGTTGAATTATACTTCGATCTATAATTTTTTAAATTAAAAATTATATTCCCTACCTTATTTTAGTTTAAACACTAATATTCTTACCTTTCAAGAGAGTGAAGTTTACACAAACTTATTCTTAGAAGAATATGCAAAGTGTGAGAGATAGATAGTCTATAAGTAAATTTTTTCATATTCCGCTTTATCTAAGTCATAAGTTTGGGGGTGTGAAGAGTCAACAAGGTGTTAGGAAGTTATTTTTATGTTAATTTCATATCAAAGAAAGATTAAAAAAAAAAAAAAAGATGTTGTGATTAATGGTTGATATTATATGATGTATATTTTTTTAAAGAGAGAAAAAGGGTTTGGAGCAGGAAATAATGTAACAAAGGATAACAAGACTGATCACAGAAGAATTCTTTCTCTTTACTAATTTTAGAGATTTTTTTTTTTTGAGCGTGGATATTTATAAGCATAATAAAGAGAGATGTTTTTTAAGATTTAAAGGATTGAGAAGTAGTGTATATGTTACAGGTGAGTGTACTCTATTTTGTGTTATAATTTTAATTCTCTTGTTTTGTTTGAATCCTATACTTTTTTTTGTAGTCCTCACATTATCTTTACATTATAAGCCTAATAAAAACCTATTGATCCTTAGTAATATTTTGTTCTACATTAGAAAGTGATTTGAAAAGCAAGCCTATAGAGTTTGAAATATCAATATCATAACTAAAGATCCATTTCATATTTACTTGTTTGCATAAAAAATCATTTGAGAGATAATAATGAAATGAGAATGATAGGTATGCATGAATGAGAGAAATGAATAAGGTGGAATTGAGTTTTGAATTAAATTTTGGAGTTGTGTAATATCGAATGATTCATTTGGATTATAAACTTTAGACAATTTTTTAGGCAACAAATTTTATGAATTAAAACAATTCTTGTTTTTAATTGCTTTTTCTTTTTCTTTTTCTTTTTTTCCAATTCTTGTTTTTAATTGCCTTTTCTTTTTCTTTTTTTTCTTGTTTAAGGACCAAAAAGAAGTTTAAGGATTTTTATATGATTTTTACCTAATCTTACTTTTAATTTTGTGCCAGTTTATCTTTAATATTTTTATTTTATATCATTTTTATTTATGTATTTTTATCTATATGTAGGAATAAATAAATTCATTGAAGCCCATTTAAAAGCTAGTTAAATGAGGAAATTCACCTCTTTAAGGTTTTTTGAGATAGAAGAGGAGGAAAGTGACCTATTATAAGAATAGGAAATTTTCATACTAGAAATTTCAGGAACATATCTCGGTAACTTAGGCATAACTTTATCTATAAATGTTCAAATTATATGATCATGGTATGAAAATAAATATTAGAGGAAGATCTACAACTTTTATGTTTATGACTTTCTTGAAATAAGTCATTCTGATAGCAAAAATAAGGATTAAAGTTAAGAATTAGAATCTGCCAATTTTGGAAGGAAAATAAAGAAACAAATAAAAGGAGATTTTGAACCAAATAAATCAGAGGAGATTAAGAAAATAAACCATGACCAAAGCTGATAAAAAAAGAAAGCTTGTTATCATCAAAATGAGATAAGGAGAGGAAGAGAGAGCCATAAGAAATCAAACGATGTCGTGGAGTGCTTCATCAACTGATTCCATACAAAATAGTTTTATTCTTTTCCTTGATTTTTTGTTGATGTATTCTAATAAAAATATGTTTTATTTTAGATTCATTATAAACTAAAGTTGTTTATATAGGGATGTAATTTAGTTTTGATTACATAATTTAAATTCAAAGTTATTTTATTTTCAATTTCTTTCATGTTGAGTGTTTATCCTTGATTGTATTGCTTACAATTCTTAGGCCAATTATTTTTTTATCTTTTAAATCATAATGAGACTGAGAAATAATTAATGATTAGAAACTTTTAAGATTAAACACCATTAGTTGAGCAAAAGATAAAAATATTTTACCATAATTAGTAAGATTATAGAAAAATCCAATGAAATGAACTAATGAATCTTCAAATAATTTAATTTACTTGGAGATATGTTGAATTATTAGGTGAAGGTATTTTTAATTTTTTTTAGGAGAGAACATTGAATAATTAAGGGATCTTTTAATCATCAACACGAGGTGATGATTGTGTAGGATTAACTAGGTGATATCAAAAGCTCTAAATTTATTTTTATTAGCTCTACAACCTTAAGTTTTATTCTCTATTTCTTTTAACTTACCTTTTTCATACACTTTAATTTAATTTAGAAGGTCAATTATATACAATTTTGGTTTGATTTCTACATAGTAATTAATTTCATAAATTTCAATACTCAATAGCATAATTAGTCCTTGTGAATTCGACACTTTTTTATTCATAAAAACTTTACTACTTGTTGCTATTTTTTCACTTGAAGTTATTATCACACCAAAATTGATCCTAAGTAATAAGAGAGGTTGTGCCTAAGGGCCTACTAAGATATGTTACAAGTAGTAATGATGCATATAACACCCATAGTTGACTAAAATAAATATATTCTAACCATACAGTGAGGGTTGTGATAATATCCTTAAATTCTAAACACAAGTCCTTAAAAATGTATAAGTTAAAATTAATTATTTCAAGTGCCTTACCCTATTGTTACAAGTTTATCATAATATTTTTCCCTTGCAACATATATATATATATTGCAACTCATTCGGGAATTGCTTCAATTCTACCCAGGCCAAATGAAGTGACATGACACAAATAGTAAAAGGTGATGCTAAAGTGGAGGCTAATATATCTTAAATAACTTTTGATGTAGTGAAATTAAGAAGGATAGTACCTCTTAATGAGAGTGCTCATTAATAATTGATCTTGTTGTATCCATACAATGTAGTATGGATTGAGATTTAGTGTTGATGTGTTAGCTTGTTAAATATATTCATAAGGACAAGTATTGCTTTCATCTATGATTCCATATAGACCTTGTCTAATAAAGAATGAATTTACTAGAGCTTTCCAAAACAAATAACCTTCATGCGAAAGTTTGAGAGAAATACAATGGTAACAATTTTGGAATATATAATTGAGGTTAAAATAGTTAGAGTTTGTTGCTATAGCTACAAGATTGGTCATCATAGTTATCTACCATAAGATAGAAGCATAAAAAGTTATGTTTTCTAATGAATATTGTAATTATGAGATAGGCTTTACCACCATAACAAACTATAGATCAAACAATATAATAAAGAAAGCAGATCATGTTACAAATATTATAATATCAGTCGTTGTGCTGTGAGTCTTTAATAAAACATATGTTTAAACAATTATATTTAAATTCCTCACAATCTTTCATTGATGAATGTGTCAAAACTTTAACATCCCAACATAAAATCACAAGCTAAGTTCATGGTAGAATAGACGCTCTTGTTATCGGCTTGTAGAAAACCACACTATATTATCAGTTGTTGTACCGTAAGTCTTTAATAAAACATATGTTTAAACAATTATATTTGAATTCGTCACAATCTTTCATTGATGAATATGTCAAAACTTTAACATCCCAACATAAATCACAAGCTAAGTTCATCGTAGAATAGAGGCTCTTGTTATCGGCTTGTAGAAAACCACATGCGATGTCTCTTTTGAATTATCTATTTATGTTAATAAAGTTTAGTTATTTTTTATTAATTTATGCTAGATTTGTTATTATTTGTTATGTTTTTTAGCTACACTATTTATTTATTTACATAGAATTTTATTTTTTATTTTTATATTTTATTTTATAAAAAAATGTTATTTTATTTTTTTCTTAATTAAGAAGGAAACAATTATGGATTTATTGATGAAACTTGATTCAATTTTTATTATTATTATTATTATTATTATAGGCATGGTTTTTCAATTTAAATTTTAGTGAAATTATGATTTTATGCGCTCTCAATTTTACAATTTTTACATAATATTTATTTTTATTTTTAAAGTTTTTCTATGAGTTCTAAAAATAAAATAAAGCAATCATCTAGGAAAACAATAAAAATGAAAAAAAAAATCAAGCATAATTAATAAAAAAAATTAACAAGTCTTTTTTTATATCTTTTGAAATAAAGTAAATAACAAAATTTGAAAAACAATCTTTAGGTATAAATAAATTAAAAGTTGGCAAAAAGTTTAATAAATTTTTTTGTTTTTTTTTGTTTTTAATTTTTAATCTATTTTTCTTTTTTCTTGGAATAGAAAGTTAATACATGTCCTCCCTCTTTTTTTAAAAGTCAAAATTGATTAAAAATTGGGTTGATTATAGATAAATAGACCCTTGTTGTCTAATTGACAACCATTAAAATCCAATTGTTCAAATTGAAACCAAAAGGATATTTCTGTTAAAAAATATACACCTATAATGTCATTAAACCAAATTTATTTATATGGCTTGACTACGAAGAAAAAAGAACATACAAGTGAGTATTACTAATGTCTGGAAATTGAGAAGTGATTATTTAAAAAACAAACACAAAACTTAGTAGATTTTCTTGGTCAACCCTCCGAGTTCCATTTTATTTATTTTTAACAATTATATAAACAAGTATAAAAACTTACAAAGAAATTAAGTTGGCAATTAAAGCGCGTAATACAAACTTAATACAAACATGACGTTAAATTTAAATTTTTAAAGGTATTTAGACTGTGTGATGGAAAAAAACTAATTTTAGTGTAACTTGAGATCATTATTTGTAAACAAAGTTTCATATTATTTTTAACAAAATCAGATAACATCATGATTTTAAGAACAATATTCTTTGGTGTGATAGAGTTTCAATATATTTCGAAGAAAATACTAGTAATCAAGAATCAAATTTAATATATTGTAAAAGGTAGGTATTTGTTCTTTTCGCTTTTTGTCGGATAAATATATTTTAAGAACATGGATTAGGAAATTAAATGATATAGAAGTCATTAATTAGATTAGAACAAAATAACAAATAAATAAATAAACTAATGTGTTCATATGGATAGAATTGAAGCTGATAAATTCAAAACATAAGTTTATAAAAAAAAAAAAAATAGATACTAAATATGCATTCTCGTTTTCCAATCCGATATCAAATTTCTCAGAACTCCGACACATAGCCACAATGAAATGTAGACAGCTGCCGCTGAATTAACCAACGAAGCTGGTGTAGAAATAAAACCTTTGTAATAGGAGCGGCAGTGTCCTGATTGCATCTATTTTTGGGTTGTTTTAAGATAAAAGAACCTGCAAAAAGAGAGGAGAGGGTTAATTTCTACACTTCCAGTCATGCTTCTGCCCTGAACATGTAGATCCTCCATGCACAGTTTACAAAGGAGAAATAATGCTCTAAACAAGAACCACACGCATCAAAACCCACTTCAAATGCTAACCTCTCCAAACCACTTGAAATTCGAAAGCAAGTTTAGTCTAAATAAGAAACCATCTTGTCAACAGGGTGATGCCAGATTTTCTTGAATTAACACACCTGTAATCAGCACAAATGGATGGCATTCAAAGGCCCTCCTCCTCCAGAAGGGGACTAGGACCAGTCAAGCTTATGATGCCTTTTATTGATCAATCAGGCTTTGTGGTGATACAGAGAAACCATAGCATATTCTGGCAGAAGTATAGTTGACTTACAAGAATTAGAGAGAGAGGCACCAACCTGGACATCTGAAGTCCAAAGTGCTGTCCTTGTACGATTCTTCTCCCAAAGTGTAGATCTAGCTTGGCAATGGCTTTCTCAAATGCCTGCACAGATACATAGCAAGGAAAACTGAAAGGATCTTATAACATATACTCGTGAATCCTATGACTATATAACCTTGAGCAACTCTGGTTGGCATATAATAAAAAAGTAAAGAGGACCTTGGTCATTTCTAAAAGACAATGGAAACCAAACATTGAGACAGGCATTGATGGTGAAAAAATGCTAGGAACACTTCTGTAACTAATTTGAGTTTCAGTTAGGCATTGTGTCTGTGTACACGAGCAAGGACAAATAGTGCAGCAAACCACATCATTAAGCCTGGGCAATTTAAAATACTTCGAAAGGTTTACTAGTCTTAAACCTTTTAAGTTTATCCATGCATCAACGAACACTCTGATATAGTCTACTAGATTTTGAGGAGCATTTGCCCATTCAGAACCTCTAGTTCAGTTTTTTATGCACGATAACAAATGCTGAGATGAGAAACAAACATCATGAAGACATTCCTTACAATAACTTATTCTACCATCAACTATATCTTGATTTGGCTTTAAAGGACAGCCATTCAATAGCTAAATCTGTTAGATCAATATATAAACAACCAGTGACGGATAATAGATTTGCCTTGGTCAAGTAAACTGAAAGGTGAATTTATTTGGATGTGAAAGAGGGCACCTAGCATTGCATTCCAGGCCCGAATAAATCTGCAAAGAAAATTCAAGCCAGACCTCTGATTGTAGCAACATTCCCTGCAAATATCAAGGTCATCCATTCTAAAAGGGCCAATGGGAAGAAACAAAATTCAACCATTATTAATTAGGGTCATTTCTTGGTCTAATGGTAAAAGCGTTGAACTGTCAGGTTTCAGCACAATTTCCATATCTCTATAAACAGATAAAATCCACCAACATGAATTCTAATGAAAGAACAAAGCAAAGATGGGTGAGGAAAACTCTTACCATGAACTGCCCTTATAGATTACATTTAACGGGAACCTGTAAATGAATCAAAAGGCAAATATATCAAAGAGAAGACAAAAACTTTATTGTCTTTGGATCTTTTCTTGAGACTTGTCAGGTACTAACTCTCAAAGAAGTTACTGCATCTAATAAAGTCAGTATTATCATAACTTTGACAGTAACAATATCTATTAAGAATCAGAAACTAAGTAGACAAGAAGAGATCTCTGAGAATGTCTGCAAGATATAAATTACTGAGCAAAAAGCTGATTTTATTGGAAATATAAAATGTATGTACAGGAGGCATTGTTCTCTGATTTGTAAAAGCTACAGCCAGGATACAGTGTTTGCTAACATATAAATGATAGGACAAACTAGCTTGTACCTTGAACAAAAGATCTTTATGGCGAAGGTACCAACTTCATACAGGAACAAAATCCAAAGCATCCAAAAGGTTCACTTGAAAATCTTGTGAAGTCTACAAAAGAATCTATATAACCTAATTGTGGACCGGTGGCCGAATGACCATCCATATAACTGGTCATTTTTTGACAACAGTGTTATGTGTTGTTTGTCAATAGTATAATGAACAAGACTATACAGAGAAAGACTTCAAACCATCATATTTAGATCTGAAAGGTCATCCATTGGAATTTCCAGGCCCATGAAATCAATGTCGCCATGCTCTTGTAATCCATCATCATCAATGTTCAGCCATGAACCCAGATCCTGCCCTTGGCTGTCATCTAATACATCTATTCCTGGCAGCTGTAGGTTGGACAAATCAATAGCATCATCCAACACATCCAAGCCAAACCTATCCTTTTCCTTTGCTTTCCTATTACTGTTGTTTTCACTTGACTTTGCCTCAGAAGGCAAAGTTGTTTTAGGTTGCTCCGATATCTTGCCAACAAGGCCATTCACAGAAACAGACAGTTGAGTTGTTTTTTGCTTGGGCTTCGTTTTAGTTTTCCGCTCCCCCTTTTGATTAGATAATGTTGGTCGACCGATTTTATTAGTTCCGTTTCTAGATAAAACCTCTCTATTGTGCCCCTTTCCTTCCCTGTCTCTCTCGCTCCTCTTCCCTTTTGTACTGCTCGATAGAGAACCTCCTATTCCTGATGGAGCACTCGATGGGCTACCAACAGCACCAACAACAACATCATCATGCAACAACTCCCTCTTCTTCACCCTGTTTGACCAGGTATCTTCCTTAACAGTAATTTGTTCTGATAAGCGATTAACAGGAGGAAGCAGATCAGAAGGATTTGAGATGTGGCTATCCCCATTCTGACCCAAATGTAAAGTTCGAGGGCTTGGCTGTGAACCCATGGAAACTGCACAAAACAAAAATAACAGTCCAAAATTGTTCCATATGACTGGAAAACACAAATACAAAGGGTAAAACGACACATCACAGCAACAAGAGCCCATAAAAAAGAGATTTAAAGAAAACACATCCACACATGAATGAATTCCAGAAGCAAATTCTGAGACATCAGAAAAAATACCTGAAACTCTGGCTTCCAAAGAGCGGGATGAGGTATTGCCATACAACTTTGCAGATTCACCATCAGTAGGAGTATCCACTGATTGTCCACCATGTAGGAGGGCAGTCCCAGAAAGGAACATGTCCCTAAATGAGGGCTCACTGAAGCAGCTGTTTCCTGTAACTTCAAATTTATGACATCGCTCTAAAGTTCGTTTAACAAATGCTAAAGCAGCTTGCTTGGCCATTTTGCTACTGGAACTCTTCCCACCAGTGGGATTAGGACCCCAACAAGTCTATTAAATAATGCTGTGTTAGTTAACCATCAAATATATATCCAGAAGTTTTTAAACAATAACCTACCAGCCACCAGCATGATAAACAGTAAATGAAACAAGCTTCAAAAGGGGGAAAAAATGGGTTGCTGTTTCTCAAGCAACTACCAAATAACAGTTAAGAATAGTCTACAAAGTAACAAAATGACTCGACTCCAAGATGAAAATTGCATGTACACACGCTGATTCAACTCAGCCCTCAGTAATGTGCAGAGGGAGAGGGGGGGCTGAAGTAGTTAACTAGCAAACCAGAAAAATACAAGTTTTTAATCAAGGATTTTATAATTAAAATCATGTCCTGAAAACTACATATTTCAATTGTTTTTCTTCTGTTCATGTACCCTGATAACACCATTAGTGACATTTACACCATTCACACCTTCAGACTTCAGAGCAATGCTGACTTGCTGCATTTCTCCAAATTATATCCTCCTACTTGGGTCATAAGAAAAGTTGGCAAAAGGCCATTCATTTCATACTTTGGGCAGACCTACATTACCTCTCTATTAAACAACCTTTCACTGGGTTTCATCAAATCTTCCTGGAACAGGCATACCATATCAAGACAATCTGGACATGTGTTTCTCTAATTCTATCCTCCTACTTGGACCATGAGACAATTTGGTCAAAAGAACTCATTCCATGCTTCGAGCATTCCCATATTATCTCTACTGAACAGCCAGTCACTGGATTTGGTCAAACATTTTGCTACAGGCATGCTATATGAAAAGAACTTGACTGATGCAGGAGGTTGATTTCCCTTCCCACACTACATCATTGACACTATTGTAGATTACTCTTATTTACAATGACAGCATGAGAATGAACAGGTGTGGCATTTAAGGCAATTATCATGCCCTGTGATGATCAAGAAAAAGTAGTTTCTGAAAAAGTAACATGATTAGATTATGTTCGTTGCATTTGGAATTCTAGAAACTTTTTGACGATTCACAAGGATTTTACCTTAGAGCCAAATGGGTTTCTATTTAATGAACCTCAGTACTAAATTTATTTTTGCTTAGGAAATTTTGCGGGATTTTCATCTGAATGCAATTTTCTACCCCTTCAATGGATTATTGTTTCTTCACAACAAATTTTTTTTTTAACCCATCCAGTTTGGTGGGCGATGAAAAGTGAAAAGAATCCATATCCATGAAATTCAATTCTTCCTTGCACTACATGGATGTGGATGTTGATCAAAGGGACCAACCCATTTTTTGGGGCAGTAAAGACCATTGACCAAAACAGAGGCCAGCATCATGAAGAAATGATAAAAAAGGTAGATTTTTGGCCAAGGACCAAGACCACAGATGTATGGACATTGTTATTTATGAGTAGCGATCACTCACAGCACTTGGTAATTATAGATTTATAAGCTAACCAACTAAATAATAATACTTCGTGAGTTTGTGAGAATAAGCTGCTGCAAATCCTACAAGGGTGACAATTACTTGCAGCAAATTTCCAAATAAGCTACCCAAAAATCACACATAAATAATGCAATATCAGTCACCAGAAAATACAAAGTATGCCTCTCATTTACTCTATCTATCACTTCTATCGATCCATCATAGCCCATTCTAGCCCATTTTCACCAAAGCATGTTTGCAGTACAACCCTGAACAAGTTGCAAAATGTATTGTTCCTAGTTTAAGAGGCCAGTTTAGATATATTGGGCATCATAGCCCTTTGGTCCCCAGTCTCATTATACCGATATATTCATACCCAAACATGAAAAGAAATGTGAATGTATGAAATATAGGAAAAGAGAATAAAGTGTGAAAATTACCATGTACTTTTCATAAGCCATTGTGATGAGTTTGTCATAAGCACGTTGTTCAAATTCCCTATACAGTCATGTAATATCATGAGTACATTGTGAGAGTTCAAGTGAAAAGGCAAAAACACACTTGGATTTATAGCAAGAATAAATTCTTTACTTTTGTTGGAGTTCTTTCATTTCTGTGGCATGTTTTAACAGCTTGTCTAATAAACCTTTCTTCCTTGAAACCTATCATAATAACAAACAAAACCATGAGATGACCTCCTTTAAAGAATGAATTCATTGCAGGATGGAAAGTTAAACAGTATGTTTAAATGCAAGCAATAGATTCATATTTCAACTTCCTACGAAAAATGACGAGTTAAAAAATTCACCATTCTGTAGAATATTGAAAAACAATCATATGATATCAAAAAGTGGAAAACAAAAGAGAAACATAAGTCTTGCTTGACTTAATATATGAGATGTACATAATATAAATAAATATACAGAGAGTGAGAGGGAAAGAGAATGAAAGGATGATTGATTGAAGTCATTTGCTATTAAGGCTTTTACAGTAAAATCAGAAGTACCTGCCCATGTTGATTCTCCTCTAATTTGCTAATGTGCCCACAGATTCCTTCATCATCACTCGGCATGTCAGGCTGTTTAAGGAAGATTACATAATAAATGGCATACATTAACAGATCTTAGTGCTGTTGCAATAACATTACATATGACATTCAAAGGCAATACCAGAAACCACTCACCCAAATCCCCCCATGCTCCCACATCCCCACAACTGAGAAAAAAGAAACTTTAAAAAGGGGGCAGAAAGAAGAAAGGGAAAAGGAAAATAAGCTCCAAAAAAACGTTTCATTTAAATCCTCACTAAAGAATCAAACATCTGAAGCCATTATGCTGCTAAAATTAGAAGATCCAACATATTACCCAGCCTCGTGGTCCAAAGACAAATCAAATGCAGGAAAAGAATGATGAAACAATGAAAAGAATAACGTTAATGTGGAAATAAACTTACCATTGATTCAGGAAAAATTCCCAGACTAAGAACCTCCAAACGAAGTTTTTCTTCTATCTTCGTATTATCATATTGAAATTTGGAACAGGCCATCCCTGGTACCAATGCATGGTCTGAAAGGGCACCATTTATGGTATTTCTGAAGTTTGAGTCAATACCCATGTTTGGGATGCCTGAAATATCATTATCTGTCTCATAGTGGTCTGGCTTCCCACTCATCTTGCAACCACTTAATGCATCATGTCCAGAAAACTGAAAATTATCTAGGTGATTCACACAATTTGATTCCAACTCCTCATGTAGCTCGAAATCAGTTCCATATGCATCAAATTCCAGGTCTGCATTTCCAAGGGTACAATCTTCCTCTGAGGTCAAGGCTGCCAAGAGTAGCTGAGAAAGGGGAATTTCTCTATCTACAGGCATTAACTGATCTGGAAGAAGTTCTGAAGTCCTAGTTTCAGCAGCAAGCTCAAGCTCAACCTCCCTATCATGTTCAAATAACCCATACCCATTAGGGACAGTACTGTAGTTGTTTGCATCAGAATGGACTGGTGTTGCTGACGGTGCAGTAAACACAATACTTCCCTGAAAAATGAATCATATGGTTAAGGAAATTAATATAACTCCCAGTTTTGACAAGATTTTATTTGACAAAAAGAGGCAATCACTGGCACAAAATAACATAGGGTAATATACTTCACCATGATATTCAATAATCAATGATTATAACTTTGAGCATTAGAAAGGCATGAGTGCTGCTTGTAACATTCTATATTGAGTACGGATGCTCCACAGAGATATTACAGATAGGTAGAACCCTAAAAGAACTAGCACATACATATATATATATGAATATGTTTGGTGAATATAAAAGAGAAGGAAAACTAGTTTTTCTAGAAAGAAATATATTATAATCCATTATGTAGATAAAAGTATCAATTTATCAAATATACATGTGAACATTGTCTAGTGTGCAAAATAAATTAGATTCTAGCAAATTTAAAAGATTGAAAGCGTCAATACACTACTGCACAACATCCATTCCATGTTCAAAATCAAGAAACACAAATCTGAGTTCATTACTATTTTAATATCACTCAATCTTCCAAATTGTTGGTTAGGAGATGCAAACAAATTTATTTACTCCTCGTCTCAATCAAGATGAATGAAACCATCATGAAAGATTACAGAAGTTTACTAAAAAGAGATTCCAAGACTCAAGACTCCATACATGGTACTGTGCAGGTGGAGAAGTATTTGTGAATGGCTGATAATGTTTCAATTTCAAAGATACAAACCATTTGTTATTGGTTAGCAACAAGAGCTTCTATCAATATGCGTAATTTTATCAATGGGCTTGTCATCTCCCTTGATGAAGAATTCTTCTTTCTCTACCTAGATGCTGCTGCTGCTGCTGAACTAAATGAATGAATCTTGCTGAAAACAAGAATATAATTCCATCTAATAGGAAAACATTAAAATGATGGAAAATAGAAAGAAAGAAAGAAGTCCTCTACCATTTGCAACAATAGTCTAAACATTTTTGCAACAAATATCCATCAGTAATACTGCTGGATATGGACACAACCACTGAAATTTGATAAATATAGAAGTCTATCAACAATTTTGGACACAAAAACACACTTAAATTAAATGAAGGTCAAACAGGACTCACTTAGCTGTATGATTAAACTTTCACAATAAGATAATTACTATTAATACATTGAATGATCATGGCTAAGTTTATAAAATGCTGCTAAGCGGAGATGGAACAATTTTAATGCATCCTGCATATATAAATTGAAAAACAAAAGGCTTTACCTGTTGTTTCAAGTGAGCAATGTCTACATCAGATATAAAACCAAAGAATGGCTCCATTTGCCTCCAAAATGAGCTCAAATGCGCTAGGTCTGCAGTGACAATCAAATCGATTAACCAACAAGGACAGAATTCAAGCAATAAAAGGAACAAAAATTTTCAGTGACAAGCACCAGGATTAATAACAGCACTTGCAGCAGCCAATAGCTCTTCATGCCCATCATCTGAACCAACTAAAAAAACCAAAACCAAATGTAAATGGATGGAAAAGAAGAGAGATGGAAAGAAAACATTTAGGGTATCAGAAAATTATCTGAGGGACTTTCAAGTAAAGTACCGAGAAAATCTGCTGTTGCATTGACTGTTGTATTCTTTTGGCGTGTGTAAGCCTTACGATCGGAGAGTTTTCTGGTTGGAGGACGGCCTGTCTTGCTGCACAAAAATATTTCTTGAAAATATTAGTTTCCAATCTGACATGCAGCAATGCTAGATAAAATGAAGAAATTTGATGGATAACTAGAAAATTTGATGCAGAATGTTGACCTTTCATTTTTATCAAAACCAAGTCTGGCACTTCTAGGCTGTTTCGCTGTTCCAACATTGCCCAGTTTCTCAACTGCTGTTGGCACAAGAGACCTTGTTGAAGTAAAACCCCTCCCAGTCCTCCCTTGCCTGCGAACACCATCTCCAATATCTTCACCTGAAACCAGCTTGTTCTTTCTTGATGGAAGGCCCAAAGGTGATATCTTTTGAACATTATGCCCAGCTCTCTCATCTATCTCATCACACTTTCTGCTCTTATCTTTAGATTTAACCTCTGTAGCCCCTGATTCTTCACTTTCTGATAAAACAGCTGACGATAAAGTGTCACCTTTTAATTTAACTTGCTGAGGAGAATTGCCACTCAAGCGCCTGGCAAATCCCACCCCAATTTCATTACCTGAAACATCAGATACACTATCCAAAGTGGGACTTTCATCATTGTTAACAATGGGAACCAAATTTGTTCTTCTTCGAGAGATCTTCTGTGGCCTCTGACCAGCCCAGTGAGCAACAGGTGGAGACGAAGACCGAGCAGATGCTGTGCGCTTGCGGTTGTTAGCTCCAACAGCAGGTGGCTTGTTCGTACAATGAGAGATCTCCCAATCATTGGGAGCAGTTGCTCTATGGACAACTGGGGACAACTTGGGCAAAATGCCTGAACCTGATCGGGGAGCCCGAATGGACGGATTCATTTTTGCACTGGAAGTGGGACTAGCAGAATTAAAATCATCCCGAACACTTGCCCTGAGCATTGTAGAGAAACAAAGGATAGTGAATCCATGCACAGCCTGATCAAACATATTAATAGTGCAAAAGAAGGTCTTAATAAAGAAAAAGAAAGTTTCCTATAAAATAATCGAGGAAAAATCAATTCAAAGAACAAGAGATTTTCCATTTATCCAAAGAGAAAATTCCAATATGATATGGAAAGAAACAGAGCTAAATGAATGGAATATGAGTAACAACAAAGGTAATGGAGTACAACAAACAACAACAGTTATGGAATATAAATAACAACAAAGGTATCTGAATGAATGTGTTAAGGATGCAGTGCATACTTAGTACCAGCTCTGATATTCACCCTTTCCTTATCTGAACCAAGAGGGCGTTCTCTCCTATCGTTTAGAAGAGAACTGTTCTCCAGGTCAGTCCTAGGGGTCATCGATCGCACGCTCAAGCCTGTTGGTTGTGAGATACCATCTATTTTTCCAATTCCAACAGCACCATTAGAAACTCCAGGCCTATAGAGAAATACAAGTTAATCTTGCCTCACAAACTGGAGATTGCAGGATGTAAAGCAATTACCAAAAGTATATAACCAAACAAATCTTCCTCTAAAGTTAAATTAAGCTGGAAAAAAAAAACAGAGAAAGGATTCTAAGAATAATTTAGAATAACTGAATTTACTTTTGATTATTGTTTCAGTGAAAGCCATTTTGACGATCATGTGAGGCCACAATCTGGACCAAAATCCCTTCACCATTCCCAGAACTAGTGATGGGTTTTGATCTTAGCAAAGAGTTGCAAGAACTTCACAAATCTTTACAGCTAGTCAAGCACATCATATACTAACCACATAATCATTATAGCAATCCTCAATGACTACTACTTCCACAACTGAAACAAAAGGAAAATTGTATTATTGCAAAAAAAAAAAATTCTTGATGTGAAATTTGAGATAACCAGTATATTACATCTCTACAAAATGTGTTTTTTTATCTCCTTTATAAATAGTCGTTCAAGGCTGTAACCGTGCATCTCAGGAAGGCACATGTAACCAAATGTGCTTTAAATTTTATTACTGTAAACTGAGTTGTTTTTCTTCACTAATTCCTTGAAGCTAGCCCATATAAGAAAAATACAGCACAGGAAAACATCATATTTAGGAGAGATAATCACAGAAATTAAAAGAAACAACTACATTTCATAACAGGGTGTCATTTTTCTCCCCCTTTTTTTAATTAACACACCCTTGGCCCACAACAAGTAGTGTAAATGCATAAAATTGAAGCTGGCTCCCACAAAAATTCTAGACCGTAGACTCAACCATAAATGGAAAGAGGATGATAATGAAAAGGAAAGAAACAACAGTGGCATAAAATAAAGATAGCATTATAATATCATGTGACAAACACTAGAAAACAAGGCTCAAAAACAACAATTAGGAGATAACACAGGTAGCGTAAGGAACTCAACAATTATGGAAAAATGATAACTAAACGAAATGGTAAAACATAGTGGTGTACATTCACAGGTGCTATTGTAGTCATCACATGCAGGTAGAGAAATAGATCACTTTCAGAAAGCGTAGTCATCACATGCAGGTAGAGAAATAGATCACTTTCAGAAGGCATACCTGAACCCATGGGAGTCGATATTCAACCTTGAACGAGCATCAGTAACAGGTCTTTGCAGCGCTCCCTGTTTTGATTCCCGATAACCATCTGAGGGTTTAGCTGACACCATGTTTGAAGCAACATCTGGCTTTATCCCAGAACGCTTCTTCTTCATTTTTGTCTTTTCCCAACCATCAACACCAATTGATAAACTTCGATCCTCACCTTGAACAGCACCACTATTTGCAAGCCTTAGCATTTCCCTGTCTCTGTCAACAGTACCAGATGGCCTGACCAGAGCATTTCCCTGCACATCCATCTTTATTAGTCAGAGCTTATGAGGTGATCTATCTTAAGGAAAATTAGACAAGGGAAAGTTCATGACATTTGGAAAACCTGGAAGGCACCACTAGCATTACAAATAGGCATTGTAAATCAAGGTGCCACAAAAAATAAAAGAAGGAAGTCTTATACTTTAGTTGTAAATAACAGGTGGTATTTAAACAACATAGTACCATCCCATCCTAGTTCAAAGGAGAAGGAGAAGAAGGGGTTCGAATCCAGTGAGATTCTGGAAGGAAAAGGAAAAAAATAAAAAGGCAAATTAGCTAAAACAGGCAGGCTTCCATGTAATATTGTGGGAGATATCAAAACAGGGTCAAATGTATTACTACTAATTTACAAATGCAACCCAGAAAAGGTGATGATATCTAATCAATAACCAACATGACAAATCATACTGAACTTTACAAGTTAATTAAATAAAACAATCATGAACGGGTAATAAAAGGAAGTTGCATACCCGCACATCCACCAAAGAAGTTCGTGTGCGCTTGTTTGGAACAATATTTTTGGTCCGTTCTTCTGACTTTTGCTGTTCAGGTTCAAAACCACTGGTGGCAGAATGATTTTGCATTCCCATTTTACCCAGGCTTGGAACAAGGACCGACCGATCACTTGATACTGAAGCATTAGGCCTATCATTAGAATAACCTTCTAATCTAGACCTCTTCTTTGACGGTATGGTTGGGAAGAGCTTGTTGAATGCAGACAAGGCTTCAGTGAAAATCTTCACACGTTCCCTATTTATTTAATAGAACTTAATTAAACTTGTGAAAGGTACTATTTAAAATGCAAAATATTCAAAGAACTACCTGCCCTTGATAGAGCTTCCACGCAGAACATCTCTTACTCGCTTGATTTCTTCAGGTGATGGAGACAATACCACCTTGCCTTTCGAAGAACCAGAAGAGTCATCTGCTGAAATTCCAAGAGCAGCATTCATGTGTCGCTTAAAGTCCCCTTGACGACTAGATTTATGGTCTGCAGCCACCACCTTTAGATCAAAACGCATGCATTGGAAGAAGTTCACCACGTCTCCCTGTGCTACCACGGCACTACTTCGAGCCATGTTCGGGACAGAAGATAGGATTGGATTCTCCACACTCTCACGAAAGCTACTCGATCTGTCCATCTGAGCAGCTAAGTGGGATCCACGATGGCCACTAGAGTATATTGGCCTATCCGGGCTATCAGAAGACATATCAAACTTACTAGACGTTGCCATTGCATCAGATTCCTAGCAAACTCTGTGTTATAAACCCAATAGATACAATAATGCATGAAAAAGTAGTAGTATTGTAGCACATAGAGGCAAATTGGAGTTCAAACGACAATAAAGGATGATACGCCTGCAAAGGACACAAATCAAAGGATAAGAACTGAAATCCAAGTTCACTTATAATATGATTTACAATGACAACTTCAACTAAAAGTCCCAACATGATCAGTGATAGTTTTAAATTGCAGAATATTAGGAGAACAAAACCAAGCTGAGATAATTAAGAGTATTGCACCAAGCTGAGATTCATAATTCCACTCAATTACAAGTTCCTCAATTTAGTATATTTTTTCCAAGGTTTACAGGCATCAGCATTATGAGATTGTTACTTCTTAAAGACCTTTTTTTTGAAAGGAAAAGTCCGACATAAAAACATTAATACCATCGAAAAAATCACGAATGATGTTATATAAGTGATTTACTTGCCATATAAATGATTCATAAAATCATTGCATTAATACTTATTAGTGTTTTTTAGTATAAGTTTTCTTTTTGCGTAATCTTAATCTTTCTAATTGCAGAAAAACAATGATAAAATTAGAAATTTGGGATGATGGCTTAATTTTTCCTTAGGGTTAATCTCCCATTTATCCATGCATCCCTCTAATTAAGTCAAATTATTCATTGATGTAATCATATGGATTCCAGTAGTCTTTCTGGCAAACTTTTTCCACCAAAACTAACAGATTTCAGACACGAAACTTGAACACAATCTCAAATTAAATTTTAATGATAAAATTGCAATGGCCAATATAATTTGCACTTCTAATAGGATCAACAAAAAAATCAAACTAAAAGAAATGGGAAAAAAAGAGAGAGAGACTGGTAGGTAGCCTTGGTCTTGAAGATTGCAGCCTCAATAAATTACACTTATTTCTCCAACAGTTCACCATCACGACACCATCAATTTAAGTGTAAATCAGTCAGACAAATAACACTGAGAAACTGTACCAGGTTTAGACTATACGAGACCACAAGTAAAAGGGGCATGAGAGACAGGTTTTGAAGGAGTAATAAACCAAAACTGGCAGGAATTTAATTCGGATTCCAACTTGATATTAATAGTAATATTTGGTATAAAACTGCAATAATAAAAGTACTAATTCTACTTCTACTAGACATAATAATAAATCCTCAAACTCATGGCATTATCATCATCATCATCATCATCAAGAATAAAATACTCCAGCTAACAACATAACTTGAGAGAGTGAAAATTAAAACCATATTGCATACCTCCAAATCCTTAATGGAATCACTCGAAGCAGCTGTGCTTTACAATAAGACAATCATCTGCACAATTTTTTAACAAAAGACCATGTTCCATCTCATGATAAAATAAAACCACCCTTTCCCTCAGATCTCCTCCTTGTCTTATATGATCAGTAAACTCCACCGGATGAATTTTAACCAAGTTACTGCAATTGCAAATACAAATCCAGTTGACCGGATCTATCGGCCAGCACCGATGAGGAAGAATCACGACCAAATATTATTGACCTGTTTGTCAACTCTGAGGTCGTCCCTGCTGCTTTGCTCACTCTTCAGCAAACAGTACTAGCTATAAATGATACACTGTTTAGCTCACTCTTCTATTTGATCGGAGATGTTAGAAATTTCAGGAAATCGGAGTAGAAGTAGTAGGATTTTAGGGTTAGGGTTAGGGTTAGGAGATGAATTCGGTCTAGAAGGAGGGTTGATTTCTTAATTTCTTCCGAGTTATTGTTTTCTTTATTTAAAAGTTTCATTTATCAAAAATTGAATGATTTTCTGTCATGTGATGAGCACATGATTGGATTAGCTATAGACAGCGTTGGTAAGCTAAGAGTAATTCCGTTTTTGACATTCACTGAGAAAGTGTTTTTATTATAGGGATTGAACTCTGTGCCTCGCCGGATACAAAACTTTGACACACAACAATTTTACGGGATAATCTAATGGTAGTTTTTTATTGTAATTTTAAAAAAATATATAGTTTTTTTTTTCTGAAAACATTTTGTGATTTTGAAAAGGTAAATTTAAACATAAGTTAAGCGTTAGTTTTTTAATTTTTCTTTTAAATAAACACAATTAATTATCATTACTTGTTATTTGATTATTAAAGATAATTTTTTATTTTTTTACATCATACAAACCTAAATCTTTTAAAATATAAGTGAAATACACATATCATAAATTCTTATATAAGATCATATAATTATCTATATCAATCTTCTTTTCTATCTAACTTTGTCAATCATACCATCTTAAACAACATTTCTATATATTAGCTTTAAAAAATTAAGTCATTTCTCATTCTTTAGATGTTAATTGCTGGGTTAATTTAATCTTATTTTTCTTTCTTTATTTGTTGATCCACAACATGCTGGATCCTTCACATAAAAAAGGATTGAGATTACCTTAATGAAACGCAATCCGTGGAGCACTAAATTGTTCAAGTATAGGTTAAGTTGATAGTAAATAAGATGATTAGGTATATAATTGGTTTAAAAATACCTATATACTTGTGAAATACATGGGACTATTTATTCCATTATATCCAAATTAGATTAAACTTGTTGTATGAACATTTGACACTTAAAATGTGTTTAAGAACTTCCAAACACTTCTATTAAAGTACTTATTATTAAAATATATTTAAGCACATCCTCTCTAGAAAATTAACCAAAAACAATTATTAATCAACTCTATCTAAACTTGTTCTATATTTGTTTGAGCTAATTAGTCATAACCTATGTAATTTTATTGACTAACATAATATTATTTAGGCATGTATTGTTAGTTGTATATTTTATTTTTAATCAAATCAGTATTATATATTTAAGTTCTAATAAAGGAACATACCTTTAAAAAAATCAATTAATAATTTTATTAAAGTTTGACGAACTAATCATGTCATTTAAAACTAAAAAGAGATAATTATGAGGTTTTGCTAAAGACATCAAAACACCAAGACTTTTTATAAATTAAGAATATTGAATTTAATTATAATTAACCACTAATCCTTCTTATGCTCGATAACTCTATAAAAGATGGATTAGGGATAGTTATTAACACCAGTTTTATTATATGATATAAAGAAATTTTTTTAGTAAGGAGTTTGAAAATTATTTCAATAAGAAAAAAGACAATGACGTCAAAAGATTTATGAGCAATTTTATTTCATCTAAACTAAGCAAAAATATATTATATAAAAAAAAAATAAAGAGGTATTGGATAATGCAATCAACATGGAAGTATGGAAGTTAGCGTGGGTTCCTAAATCTAATGTTTTATAGTTTAGTGTGGGTTCCTAAATCTAATGTTTTATAGTTTTCTTATCATCTATTCTTGTGATTTTTTTTCTTATGAAATAGCATTATTGAATATTTATTTAACCATCTTATAACTAAGCAATATTTAATCTTATATCAATTAGAAAAAATTTTAACCAATTATCAATTACTATATAAGATTTTAAATCAAAAATAAAGATTTTGATTATTCTATTTTTGGATCAGAAGGGTTAGGCTCTTTTAAGATTTAAAATTCTTAATTTTTCTCAACAAATCCATATACTAAATTAAAGGTTATAAAACTTGAGAGATGGATAACCTAAATAAGAAATTGTAGAATTCTTATAAAATGTTTTATAATTTGATGTGATAGGTTATGTAAGTGCACTTTTCAAAAAAATGTAATATATTTTTTTTGTACAAACTATTTATATAGGCTTGTACATTGAAACCTCTTAAATATTTACGGGATAATGTAATGGTAGTTTTTTTTATTGTAATTTAAAAAAAATAGTTTTGAAAATTTTTGTGATTTTAAAAGGGTAGATTTAAAATAATTTGTGTTAATTTAAATCCATTTTTAATTAAATCCGCCCATAAAAATAGTAAAAGCTTTGTGATTTTGAAAGGATGAATTTTTGCATGCAAAATAAATAAAAAAATTAGTTTTTAATTAAAAAATATATCACTTTAACTTTTATGAAAATAAAACTTGAAACGCGATCATGTGTGGAGCTAAGTTCAAAAAAACAAAAATTATTTGATTAATTCAATTATTTTTTTTAATGGTTGGACAAAAACCTAAAATTGCTACAATACCTTAAATATAAGTTATGCATTAATTTTCTAATTTTTTTTAAATAAAAAGCAATTAATCATCATTAATTTTTTATTTGATTGTTAAAGTTGATTTTTTATTTATTTTACATCATACAAACCTAAATCTTTTAAAATATAAGTGAAACACACTTGTCATAAATTCTTATATAAGATCATATAACTATATAAAGTACTTGTTACTAGCAACTTTCAAACATTTCTATTAGAGTACTTGTTCTTGAAATATATTTAAGGGCATGCTTTATAGGAAACTGACTAAAAATAGTTTTTAATCAACTTTACGTGAGCTCGTTTTGCATTTGTTTGAGCTAATAAGTCATAGCCTACATGGTCTTATTGATTAAAAGCGTGCTTGTTTTTTAAGTAATTTTTGTGGTTGTGGTTTGAAAAGGATAAGATTTAAAAAGTACAGTTAGCTGTGGTTCGTTGAATTTAAATACGTATTTAGTAGAAATTATGGTTGAAGTTTGTGTGTAACGAAAAACATGTATAAAATGTTTGGTGAAGTTATGTTTGGGAGTGTTATTGCGATTGTTTTTCAAAATGTTATTTACTTGAAAATGCATTAAAATGTGTTTTTTATTTTTTAAAAATTATTTTTGATATCAAAGCATCAAAATGATTTGAAAACTCCAACAAAATAATTAATTTCAAGCAAAGAAAAAATAAAAAAAAATAATTTTTTTCAAAAATACTTTTGAAATGTAAAAATAAATTGAGTTTGAATTTTTATAAAACTTAGTTAAAAAGGCATGAGAAACTGCATTTTAAGCTCAATTTTTTAGTGAGCCCCACATCATATAACACAAATTTGGTTTGCTACCAAATACCTTACTACGTTTGTTTCACCGCAAACGTAAAAGTTAGCGGAAAGCAAACGCAACATAGCTAAATATTATTATGGTAAGTAGTTTTAGTTGTACTTTTTTATTTCTAGTTAGATAATCCTTAAACCAACATTAGATAGATTTAAGTTCTAATAAAAACATGTATCTTCTAAAGGATTCATTGTTAGCTAATTAGAGTTTGGCCAAACAACATGTGACTAACTAATTATCTCATTTAAAACTAAAAAGAGATAATTATGAGGTTTTGTTAAAGACATCAAAGCATGAATGTAACCATCAATAATTTGTAGAGACAAAAACAATGGGAAAAATGATATCATTGTAGACTACATAAAGACACTATGGTTATGTCCAGATATAATTCTTTATTGATGTGAGGGAATTAGATAATGAAAAGCCATTATATGACATTTATGGTGGAGGCTGCTCCTGCTCCGTTGCTTTATGTTTGTGGGTTGTTTTCAGACTTCTTGGACCATAGAAACAACCTCTGTTAGTTGCTTAGATTGACTCATCACCAATCATCATAATCATGTTTTTACCAGTTTAGTTTTGGCGTGATTGCTAATCAATTATTATTTTAACAAATTAATCCACTAGGAGCCCATTTGTTGATTAATAAATAAATTATTTGATTAATATGTTACCTATTATTCATTTTTTTCTTGCAATAAAAGGAACCTCACTTAAATTAAACAAAGTGTAAATTCTTAACTTGATTTAACAAGCTAAGAGGTAAAGGTGTATAATGTCAAAATTCTACAAGCTAAGTAAAAAAGAAGAAGTATAAGCGATATATATATATATATATATATAAAGCTTTAAATTGCATAACTAAAAGAAAATGATAAATTATAGAAAGCTTATGAAGAAATGGTATACATGGGGTTGACTCTTATTTTTTGAATGCTAGACTACTTATTTCTAATATTATAAAAATTAAGTTTCACATAAATTATATGTCCTCGTCTTATAAAAACTGTTTATGAAAGGTAAGGATTTTATAACCTAAACCTATTACAATTTCATATTTTCTATTCACGCACCCCTCTGGACATTTATATATGTTAGAACTCTAACTATAACACAACATTTAACAGTATTAAATGCTAAAGACTCATATTCTAAATATAATTTGATTATTGATTTTTAACTTGATCCCTCATCTTCTTAGTTGATTATCAATTTTAGCTTTCTTCAATATTATGTTAAAAAATATATAGTGCAAATTTATTCTTCTTGATCAAACGATATTTGATCATTTAATTTTTTTATATAAATAGCAATATATGAGAAATGAATGATAAATGCCTTTTTCTTTCAGCTACCCATCAATAACCCAATTACCTTAAAAAATCTTCCTCGTGCAACATGTTTTCTACTTGACTGAGTTTAATGCTGAATAACCAAAAATCTCAATCATAACATAGTAGACCTATATAAAATGTATAGAACAAACAAAAATAAAAATATATAAGTCAAAATTGTAACTAAACTAGAAATTATGTGAAAAATATCAAAGCTAGTAAGGAATATACTAGATATGAGATTACTTAAGAAGAAAAGGTGAGAAAGAAAATAAAAGGAAATGATGTCTCTATAATGAAAAATCATCAACATCAACTTATAGGTCTAAAGTGAAATAAAATGTCTTCAAATGAAAGAGAAAACTGATGGGATTTTTTTAAAAAAATACTTTTAAATAAAAGTGCTTCTACTTGCTTCATGTGTTACCTCAATCTCATTTCATTCAACAAAACTATTATAAAAATTATAACTAAATTTGAATTCATAATAAAAATAAAATTCATATTAAATCAACAAAAATAAACT